GAGCTGTGAGTGAGATAGGGCTCTTGCTTCCTACTTTCATGGTATAAAAAAGTGGTCAAGGGTTTTAAGAGTATATTCAAAATGTTTAATTGGATCCCATTCTGGATATCAGCATAGGACTGTGCTGTTTGCTTCTAGTGCAAAAGAATGTCTAGCAAAACAAGGCAAAACAGGAAATACGGTGGCTGCCAACAACACTTCCTGAAGTGTATATACACGGCATGCCACTTGGCCCATAGTGATTCCCTCCTGTTTTAGGCACTCTCCAGGATGCTTGGCTAATCTAGCTTTGATCTCTGATCCAAGCTGGAAATCAATGGCTCCTGGTAGTTTCCATGTAAGTGGGACAGTGCATCTTCTGTATGTTTTAATCTGAATGTTAAAATATCTATGTAAGATGCTGAACCTATTTTAGGGATAGGGTTCAACAGCCTGCATGGCTTTTTTCAAATTGGACTGAATTTTGAACTTACCACCACACTAGCATGGAAACCACCAGCTAATAATGCCAATGATCTGCTCTTCAGGGTCTCAGAAAGAAGTATTCCCCCTTACAGGACAAATAGCCTTTACAAATGGAGAGACCAGAGATAATATTTTTATTTGCGATTCATCTCATTATACAATGCTTCCTAACCTCAAGATGCTATCTTGTTGTATTATCTAATATCCCCAATTGGCAAAATGTCACAAAAATGGCTGCATTGCGTGTTCTAAAAGTAGAATAAATGGCATGTAAAATATATGACAGTTCTCTATCTTAAGGGGTATTTTGTCCTAGGCCATTTCAAAGAAATGCACACACACAAAAGTTAGAAGTGGCAACAGAAGCTTTAAAATTGCTTACCAACAGTTTAACAGCAAATTGAACAAGTACACAGGTTATTTGTTCACAGAATTCTTCACTCTGGTGGGATATATTATAGCTGGATTTCAATTAACACATGCAGATTTTATGCAGGGTTGCCTCTTCTCCCCCCTTCCACACACTTTTGGGGGGGGGGTGATCCATGTCCTCTTTTTGGGTAGTGGATAGTTGGTCATACTTTAACAGGGGTAGCCATTTTATAGCCCCTGAAATGTTGTCAGATTGCAATTCCCATCAGACCTAGCCAACATAACCAATGGTGAGAGGTTGCATGCCTGCATATAAATTAGGATATAGGATATGTTTTTTTCTAATTAAGTTCACCTTTGAAGGGTCTTTTCTACAGCCTATAGCCAACAGTGGTGTGTTGGATGGCCATCAGAGAAAGAGCTTTCTTAGTCATACTGCTTGTTTATAGAATGTCCTCCCAAGGAAGAGCCACCTGGTCTCCTCCTTATTAAATGGTAGATTGCATGGTCTTCAGTGTGGGGTCCATCTTTTTGCACTTTCTAATGCAGCATTCACAACTGTTGAAGGAGGAGGAGAGGAGAGGAGAAGGAGGAAGAGGACGATAGTAATGATAAAGGTGGTGAAAGTTCCCTTACACTTATGCTAGTACCTTTTTGGCTACTGTGGAACAGACAACTTCTGTTCGTGGTTTCATAAGAAAAATTTCATAGAGACCTAGCTAGCAGT